TTTTTATGACTATAAAAGATTCGACTCAAAGATTATGGAATACTCAAGATGTACATAACAGATCGATATAATCAACATTTCTTGTAAATATCTTATCATTTTTCAAAAGCTGATTTTGTTTTTTAGTGTTTATAACACACATTATTTCTATTTCTTCCCCTTGGTGGTGTTCTATGACTTTCCTATGTTTCCATAGTTTGCAAATCGTCTCATTCAATGATTACTAAGAAATGCAGCACAGTGTTAATTCAGTTTTCTTTTTAGTATATCAATTTATCCAGGCTCTCTCGTTTTTTTCCCATTGTAATAATTAACCCAAATTCAAATAGTAACTATTTCATTTCAACCGAGTAAGTAAATGTTTGTGGCAAACTAACTGTTAAATTAGCAAACTTATTGACTGTTTACAATTAACATATGTTCATCTTCTCACTTTTAATTTCTGACAACAGCTGGAGTTTCATAACAATATTTGTTTCCCATGTTAATCTTATGGAGAAATACGAAACTTTAAAGGGCCCCAGGGCCTCACCCTCTAATTATTTCCCTAAAAAGAAAGTTTCCTGCACAACTTCACGTTACGCTCTTTCCAATGACACCAAGAACATGTAAATCGGTTCAGTAGTTTCGGAGGAGTAATTGTCACAAAAAACCTGCTTGCGTATTAAATAAGTATATAGATAGATAAAATTAGAGTTTTGTCTGTACTTTGCTCAGAATTATATACTTTAAGGTTATTTTTACGTTTTATGCATTAAAGAAGCAGAAACGAGTCTTATCTCTATTTCTGTCTGTCTGTCTGTCTGTCTGTCTGTCTTTCCCTTTGTCTGTAACACTCAAGATGGCATTTTACGCAATCTTCTCCGTGAAAACCAGAGTACCTATCAAGATCCAAGTCATTTTAATGTATTCACTGGATTGGCGAGAGTGACTTTAGTGATTTAAATATTTAAATATAGCCTCACTACTTTGTAAATAAAATTACGGACGTTCAAAAATGCAGTTTTGTGCGATTTTGGTCAAATTTTCGTTCAATTTTTATCACATAATCGTCTATGAAATAACGAACAGCTGTTCGGATCAAGATTATTTTTTCTAGCTGTCAATGATATGTTTACAAATGTTGTTTACAAATACGCAACCATTTCGAATCACGTTTTGAAAGCAAATCCCAACCAAGTGAGAATAAAAAAGTTTTTCTTACATAACGGATTTAATTAATCGCAAGTGCAATAATATAGTCTAATAGTGTAACCGTAAATGAAATTAAATAACTAGACATCGTCCAAATCGGAACCAGAAATTCTCTGAGTATAAAATGTTTCTTGAGTTTTGACAACCTGAAAGAAGACCTTGAATCAGTGTTGTATAGGGCTGGACACTGAAATGATCGTCGCCAATAGCTTACAAAAAAGGTTTCCACTCATTGACGGCGCTTCAATGGCGGTTGTGTAAAGTGTAAAGTAAAAAAATCACAACTGCAGTGGGTGATTGTAACAGAGGTTTAACAGAGGAAGTGCTAAACTCGCTTTTCCAATGTGTCACTTTCTGTTTCTACTCACCGTGTGATGCAATCGCTGGACCATACAGCCAATAGGCCCATAGCTCATATCTTGGGTACGTAAGCCTTCATATTTATTCATAACAACCTTTTTGACGACGATCCTTGATACCGGTACTTTTCCATAGAATACATGGCCTACCTACTTAAGAAATATAATTACAAATGACCAAAACCCCAACATTGTGTGATTTTCGTCACATTTCCTTCTAATGTTAATAGATATACTAATCATTGTTTAGAGAATGCGTAATCTATTAAATAACAAAAAGTTGTTTGGGTAAGGTTTTTTTTTCAAACTGACACCGATAAGTTTACGCTATAACTTTTTACGAGAAAATCCAAAAGCAAGAGATCAATAACCTCGGGACTAGATATTAATGTATTTAATTGGTCGGATGTACTATAGTTCTTAGGTAGGTTCTTACGTAGGTACTGGTTCTTTTCCTTAGAACCGTTGGTAGCTGCTAGAATCATTTTTACGTAGGTACCAACACATCACTGTAGTTTACAAATTAGTTATCGTTGGTGTTGCACCTTATTTATTAGAGCCGTCCGTATTCAATTTAAGTGATGTCTTAACTCTGTATAAGTTTTGCTTTTTCTGTCTGGATTCCAAATCTTAGCTTACCCGGTATGCTAAGAAAATGATAACCTATTTGAGTAAAACATTTGTTGGGCAAACCATCATGAATTGTTTACGCATTTATATTGTTTATGTATCAATAGTTCGTGGCCTTTTTTGGATTGTTGTGTGTATGTCTGTTGGTAACGCATTAATGTCCTTATTTCTCAGTGTTTCACGGAATGGACAAGAGCACCTTTGATACTGAAAATGTCAACCAGAATAAAGTGTTAAATGGTGAGGTTGAGGTAGTACTTTAAATACGTTTAAGTTAACCGATGTGGAAAGTAAATTTCAATTATAGGCCTACTTTAGGGCTACGCTTCATGGATCTATAAAACATATTTTTTAGTTTAATAATTGGACATATGGACCATAACGATCCGGGTGACATTTAATTGCGAAGCATTTATTTTGGCTTGAACTGTCAGATACTGTATTTGTGAAGGTTTATATATAATAGTTTTGCCAGCATATCTGCAAATATGCAAACTAACTGCTGTTCTTAATCTTAATATAAGAAGGTGTCAACTGACTACTATAAGATACCCGTGCGTAGAACGGGCACACAGCTAGTTAATTATATAGATAGAGATGGCCGTGTGATCGGTTGGTGGGATCCTGTCAAATTCCAATCATTCTAACCCTCTAACCATACTTTATTTGGTGTTATCCATTATTTCAAGGACTTGTATCAAAAACTTATTTCAGTTATTGGACGTTAAAACCTGTGTATTTAAAGTTATTTTGAAACATTATTAATTGCTTTTTAATAGTAAATAAATACTAACTTACTTACCTCTTTTCAAGCTATGATTAATGGTGAAAATAGTCATGTTTCCTGGTTTGGAGATATTGTTTTAGTCTTAGGTTTAACCCTATGGCATTTGATTAAAGAACGACCATCGGTTTATGATCTTATTAAAATGGGTTGTTCGTGAAATAAATAAATAAACTTTTTTGCAATCTGCAATCATAATGTTGACATAGGCATATTTTTGTTTACTATCAACAAAACAACTGGATTACGCCATCCTTGATATTGTCTCTAATTTGACAAGATGACAAGTCCCACCAACCGATCACACGGCCAACCCCCAACCTAACAACACAATACTCTGAAACAAACACAGGCCATGCTGCAGCGCGGGCAGCGCAATACTACGTCACAGTGGTGGATAGTTGTACTAAACTCTTACCATTAAAATCTTACAAACAGCCAGCTAGTGGGGCCTTGAACAAACCCAGCAAAAAACAGTGGTACGTTTTTTAAAGTGTGGTAATTCCAGTGGGGACAGCTCACTTACACTACAAATCATAGACACTATGAGCCTCCAAATATGTAATTCTTAAAACACATGGCTCACTTAATCTACAGATCATAGTGCCTATGAGCCTCGTGTCTTATATTTAAAAATACAGTAGGATGGTTCACTTACAAAAGAACAAAGAAACACAAACACTATAAGAATCACATTTATGTTGTCCACTCTTGGGTTTCTTAATCCGTGGCCCTCCTCCCCTCTTCTGGGTAGTTAAGTATGCCTGATGGGCCCCTGGCAAAGAAGATCACCTATCTCTACCATCCTAAAGAATCCCTTGAACCTTTAGATAATCCTATCTTTAATACATAATTAGGTACAATAACAAAACTAGAACAAATCAACATGAAACATTGATTGTGCACATTTATGTTCAATAACAAATGTTTGTAAACTAACAAATAACCTTAATTGCAGGACGAATTTGAAGCAACCACAACTCAGTGTACATCGAGGCTGCCTGGTCTATTAAACCGAAGCCTGCTTAGCAAACTAGAGGAAAAAAAATATAGATTGAGATTTCAGATTCAGGCAGGGGCGTACGACGGCGCTGAAGGGCCACCAACTATAAAAAAATATTTTTCTTAATCTCTGAGAAAAAACTTAGAATTCTGAGTTTAAAGTCAGAATATAACAAGTGGGCGTTCCACTCTGAGATTAAAGTCAGAATTCAACTAGTGGGCGTTCCCCTCTGAGATTAAAGTCAGAATTTAACAAGTGGGCGTTCCTCTCTGTGAAAGGAGTCAGAATTCTGAGATTAAAGTCAGAATTGAATTGTGGGCGTTCCTCTCTAGGAAAAAAGTCAGAATATAACTAGTGGGCATTCAACTCTTAAGTCAGAATTGAACTGTTGGCGTTCCTCTCTTATTATTGCAACGATATTATCAGCATATCGATGCTATCATCCCTACTATCTTAGACAAAAGAAATAATATAAATATCATTTCTGTTGTCTATTCTACTGTGTTCTTCTACTTGCAACGTTGCCAATTCTACCATGTATTGGGGCCCATTACATAATAAAGTACAAACTAATATTATTAGTAAATCAGCTGATCGCCCAATGCAAATCTAATGGAAATTACAAGTTACAAGTTGTAACTTGTAGTTTATTATGAAATGGGCCCCTGGAGTTAAAGGTGGCCGTGAGAAGAGTACAGTAGAGTATAGTAGCACGGCCGCATTGGTGGCCGCATTCTTACGTTAATCTCAGAGATGAACGCCCACAATTCAATTCTGACTTTAATCTCAGAATTATAACTCCTTTCACCGAGAGGAACGCCCACTTGTTAAATTCTGACTTTAATCTCAGAGGGGAACGCCCACTAGTTGAATTCTGACTTTAATCTCAGAGTGGAACGCCCACTTGTTATATTCTGACTTTAAACTCAGAATTCTAAGTTTTTTCTCAGAGATTAAGAAAAATATTTTTTTTATAGTTGGTGGCCCTTCAGCGCCGTCGTAGGGGCGGGCAGGGAGGATCGGAGGAAAAAGGATGGCACAGACCAGCAGCAGGAACAGACGTCCATTTTGTTTTTTCGTTCTTTGAAAATTAAAGTGAGAGAGAGAGACTGAGGAGGAGAGGGTACTATATAATCTTACTAATTTAAATGCCGGTTCTTGCCTAAGGTAAGTTGAAAAAACATTGTGATCAGACAACATTCCCAAAGTAATTCAAACTTGATAATTGAGACTCCTTATCCCCCCTAAGGTTGAACTACAAGGATTGTAATTTAGGCCTATAATACATTGAAAAATTAATATTAATAATAAGCCTAACCAAGCCTAGGCCCAATATCTAATTTCAATACAGTCTAGGCCTATGCTAAAAGCCTACTTGAATTGGGTGTACAGTTTCTTAACTGGGCTAAGCTAATAACTTACCGATTGAAACTATCAATTAATAATCAATAGGCTATTTTAACTAGCCTAAGTGAGTACAGTTTCTTAACTGGGCTATGCTAATATCGATTGAAACTATCGAATTGAAAATATTGATTAATAATCGATATTTTTAAATATATTATCAAATTAAACTATCATAACCTAACCTAACCAACCAAACTTGCTGATGGTGAAAAAATCGCATGAAGGTTTAAGTTACTAATCGAATCGTTAAGCATAGCCCAGTTAAGATACTGTACCCACCTAAGTTATAAAATCTATTATAAAATGAAACTCATAACCTAACCTAACCAACAAAACTTGCTGATAGCCTTGGCCTAGTGAAAAAAAAACTAATGATGGTTTACTAATTGAATCGATAGTGGTAATTCTGAGCAATTACTTGGTCAACCCCAATTTTTTTCTTATTTTACTACGGTCATCAGGAGGTTCTCAGAAAGCAAGAAACATATAATTTAAGCCCCGCAAGGTTAAGTTAGGTTAGGTTAGGTTAAGTTAGGTTATTAATTAACCTAACCTAACGTAACGTAACGGTACTGTTACAATTGGCCTTAGAGATGTATTTGAGACTAAAAAAACATAATAAGTTAGGTTAGGTTAGGTTAGGTTAGGTTAAGTTAGGTTATTAATTAACTCAGTAATCGCCGGGAGGATTGTCGGTGACCACTAGCCATAGCCATAACGGTACTGTCACAACTGGCCTTCCGCGCGTCTCCCGCAAGCCACTGTTATCGCTTAAACTTTGAACCTTCTTATCGCTCGGCAACCTGTAATATGGCCTTGCGGGCCTTGAATTATATGTTTCTTGCTTTCTGAGAACCTCCTGATGACCGTAGTAAAGTATGAAAAAAATTGGGGTTGACCAAGTAATTGCTCAGAATTACCTCGATAGTTTCAATTGATATTAGCATAGGCCTAGCCCAGTTGGGTACAGCTTCTTAACCCTCCAAGTGTCTAGTTTTGGTCTTAATGTTCGCCCATTTAAGTTATTGCGCAATCGCAGGGTTTTATTAAAATGTATCTTAGAAAAAACAATGTAGGCCTAAAGTATACTGTTTTATGTATCATTTTGTTTGGAAAATTATGGGCTTCAATGTAACCACAGAGAAGTAATATAGGTAAACACAGTTATATCTGTGTTGCGCGTAATCCGTGTCCCCATTTAGCGAGCGTGTCCCCACTGGACGTATTTCACAGAGTACACGACAGGTCGCGACAGCGCTGCGCTACGCTCACTACTCCGCTGCCAGCCGCTGAACATAGTACAAGTTTAGGTTTCAATTGTCGTTCCAATAATTATCAAGACCTTTATTTAAAACCTATTCCGTTAAATGCAGAATGAAATTAAGCTTTCCAAAGATACCAAATATGAAATTAATATTTATAAACGTGTTCTCGTAAAGCTAATTGTTAGAACAGCTCCGTTTCCCACAGGGACAGTGTAACATTAGGTCTAATAGCTTTATAGGTGCAACGTTAAAATAGCTGAGAGGTATAAATAAATACTTAATGATTTGATGCAGACAGTGACCTTTAATAAGTAGGGTAAGTGATTACCATGGACATACGGAGCACTACTTATACGGTACCTAGTTTTATAATTTAAATAATTCAAAATGTAAATTGAATGGTTGAAACATAGTCTAGGGCCAGGAAATTGTTATCTTTGCTGTGTTTTCGCTATTAAATTCTAAATATGTATTAATTGGTAAGTTTTTAAAATATAACTTAGCATATTCAACTACGGGTACATGCATTTCAAAATGTTATCGTAGAAAGAAAAAAAAGTGTAAAAGTACATTATACACTTGAATGATATTCTAAAGAGTTTAAAATAATGAACTATCTTGCTTATACTACGTATTTACATTGAAGTTGGTTGCAATAAAATTATTTACAGTAATATACAAAATCTTAATTAAACAACTTACTCACCTAAAACAACGTAAACAAATCACATGCTAAGTTTGAAGTCAAATAAATGATAACGTTTTATACATTCCTACATCAAATTGTTCGACACTCTTTAATTTACAAAATATTAAAATAAACATTTGCAAGATAGTTAAGTAAATAAACATTAAAGTGGCTTTTATTAATAGCCAACCATTATTATTTAATTAAATACTATTTAAAGTAGTAACAACAGATTTATCAGAAAAGAAAGTTTAAAATCTGGATGTACGAAGTACAACTTGCTCACTACGGATAAGCAAATATTAATAATGGGAGACATCAATGTAAACAACCTAGTTGATGACAATGAAAACGAAAAAATTGAAGAACTCCTAACCTCCTTCAATATCTCAAGACTGAGGCTACCTCCCACTCGAATTACAAGTGACTCAGAAACATCAATAGACTGGATATGCTCAAACATTGATAATCAACAAATAGAAACCTCAGTTATAACATCAGGACTATCTGACCATACCGCACAAATCGCAAAAATCATCACTAGAAAACCGATCATCAACAACATCAAAGAAAATAAACGAATCTTCAACAGAACAACAATAGATAACTTTAAGACACAACTACAAGAACAAGACTGGGAATCTATAATCATAGACAAAAAGAATGAAATATAGACTGTCAGCCGTGCTGCGGTTGCCATGGTTACCATAGGTTCCGGCGCACACCGCTGCAGTTTACGTAGCGCATACGCCGTAACTACGGTGGTGCTCCAAGCGGTGTGCGCCAGAACCTATGGTAACCGCAGCACAGCTGACGGTCTATATTTAATTCTTTTTGTCTATGCTATAATACAAACTCATGACGTAGATGAAGCCTACAACAATTTCAGCAACATCATCCAGACAACACTAAACCACGCCTGCCCTGTTAAAACATCAAGAGTTAAACAACATAAAAGGAGACAGTGTTGGAATCAAGAATCAGCTAGACTTAAAAATGAATATATAAAGGCCTTAGAAAAGGAGCAAACAACCGGACTTATGGAAGACAAAGGGTCAGTCCATATCAAATCAACACACCTATTTTACCTCACCATCTTAGATTTTGATGAAATTTGGTACAGAGGTTACCTTTATGAAGACTTAAAAAAATACAAATTTTCAACTCAATATCTCAAACGGTTTCCAAAATACGGCCATTTAAAGTTTTCAAAAAACTGTCAAAATCGCGCTGCGGTAAAACTTCTAAATAGTCATAACTCGTCTCCTGTTTAAGTTAGAAACATGGGAAAGGTGTCATTTTTTAGCTATTTTCATGCCCTTTCTAACGATACACAACACATAATAGGTTATGACAACAAAATATTTTTCAAATTCAAAAATATATTTTTAAAATAAAATATTTTGAAAAACACATTTTTGATTATTTTTAAAAAAATATACAAAGTTGTTCATGTTATCAGTAATGTGTACACCAAGTTTGGTCATGGGATTGCAATGGGTTCATGGTTAAAATAATTCAAAACCAACGGTGGTTTGTCTAATTTTAAAACGTTTTTATTAGCTCGCTTTCTTGTCCGGTACAAATTTTGCAATCAATCTTAACCGAACTTCCTGATGAGCTAGTGACTTGAAACATAGGTCACAAATGGATGACAACGCAATATTATATTATTTAATTTTCATATTTTTCTTGGGCCACGTCTTATGGGCTTGTTTTTACAGTATTAGCTCGCTTTCGTGTCCGGTACAAATTTTGCAATCAATTTTAAACTAACTTCCCGTTGAGCTAGAGATTTGAAACTTGAAACATAGCTCACAAATGGATGCCAATGCAATATTATATCATTTAATTTTCATATTTTTCTTGGGCTACCCCTATAGGCTTGTTTTCATTAGTTCGCTTTATTGTCCGGTACAAATTTTGATATCAATTTCAAACTAACTTCCTAATGAGCTGGTGACTTAAAAATTGAATCATAGCTCACAAATTGATGGAAATGCAATACTATATAATTTGATTTTCATATTTCTCTTGGGCTAAGCCCCATGGGCTTCCAAATTTTACATGTTTACATTTTGAAAGAATGTAGCCAAAATATATCAATTGAAGTCAGCTGTAAAAACTTAAATTGGACAGTTCGAAGAGCAGATGTTAAGATGTACAGGTTCTGTTCCTGAGATATTCTAAAATATTTAAAACGAGCATTTCAAAGTAAAGATAAAACATCTGATTACGGATAGTAAGGTTTTGGTTATGTATTAACAGGCCATATAAAATAGATTTAACATATTTTACACAATAAACTATTTAAAATATTTAACATATTATCTAACATGTACACATTTAACATATTTACTCTACGGAAACATTGTGGCACTATTTCAAATCATGACTAATACGGTATGTTGTGATTATTCAAACCTACAAAACAGATGCCGGGTAACAGCTTTTTATATTTATTTGTAAACATTGTAGTTCAAAAAGTCTGACATTGGCCCACTTAAAACCCTCTCGGGCGGAGCCGTTTTGATAGATCTGCACCAAACTTCACACAAACCATCCTTGAATAATGCTTAATAATGCCTGAAATTTTCATTACAATCTGTCGAGCGGTTTCTGAGTGCATAAGGTACATACATACTTAGTTCTCCTCTTTTATAGATATAGATAGATTACATATAACATGCTTGTTGTTGTTTTACACTACACACCTACCTTCTTAAAGTGATGAAAACTATAAAGATAAAATTAGAAAAAAACTAGACTTTTTAAAACCACACTTCTATCTTCAACAACTCATATAA